CACCTGTAAGCAAGCTACATCTTAGGTCTTTAAAGTATGTATGTGAATTTTGCATCATGAACCCAAATATACTTGTGTTTTAACATAAAGATATTTTCTTTCAAATCTAGCCAATGCTCCAAGGATAACTCTGGTTTATCCCTTGACATCCCCCTTCTATGAGGATGAGCACATAAAGGGAACAGGCAGTCCAGTTTTCAAATCATGATCTTAGTTCCTCCTCTTTGATATACCCAGGGTAGGAGGAAAACTCTTTCAGCATGTAAGTGGCTACTGAACTTCCATGTGTACAATCGTCTTACCAGTGCAGAAATCCAGGTGGAGAAGATACAACAAGGTCAGTAAACTATAGAACACTAATGTCCTTATTCTTGACTGAATGTACTTCAGGTCCATGCCTCATCACACTGGAAGAATAATGAGTGATCATTTTATTTTCCCCCAGGCTATTTTCAGAAACTATTTGGAGAGAGCAGGGTCAGACCCCAGCTCCACCTGTCAGCAAGTTCACAAACTTTGACGGAGATTTTTCAAAGGCCAGCTTCCTCATAGTGGTCAAGGACATTCAATTTCTAACTTGAATAATCAGTGGTACTCCGTGACTGTTGACACTGAATTCTAGCAGCCTCCCAAGACATACATTTCTCTAGAGAGTTGGGGTGCTGGCTAGAGAGAATTTTAGAGACATTATCTGTATACATTCTTGGATGTCACGGGATCAGGGGCTTAAAGGAAGATTTTCTGGGTCAGTGGCTAGTATACTTAAGGAAAAACTGAGAACTCCACCAGGAAAAGGTATCCAGAGAACAAGATATTCCAGAAAGAAAGATTCTATGAGAGAGGTAAGAACTGGCCCCGGGGAAGATACAGTGAAATCTCTGGTCTCTGGAAGGAATTCTGGTTGTAATAATAGGAAAACAAAATTGAAGAAATGATTCATGTCAAGAAGTGCGTACCTTGGGGGATTCTTAAAGGAGTTCTGTGTGCAGGCGGGGGGATTACCAATTATGTTTTAACCAATAATGAAAAACTTCATGGGACCCCCCAAAACAGGCATTGATGATTCAGAGAAGTATTCAGTGCACTAGCACTAACTGTCTCCTGCCAGCTGTTGTGGGGAGACCACGGCACAGGAATGGAAGCAGTCGACAAAATTCCCCACCACACACACACACACCAAAGAATGGGCACCATGGGAACTCAGAAGTAACAGTCCTGACCAGGAGTCCATTCAAGTCTTATGGGGCTGGGAGACCTGTGGGTAGGGCCTGGTGTGGGAAACCCCCAGCACAACCAAACCCACAAAGGTCATTTCTCTCCCTGACTCCCAAGCCCTCTACCCCACCCTAACTGTTGGCCAGCTGCCCAGTCCAAGTCTCCCAGGAGGACATCATGCATGACTTCCTTCACCCTCAAACTGGAATTTAAACTGCCAAAATAACTACATACTTAATACAATTCATTTAAGCATCAAAGAAGTTGATTTACTGGGGGGGTTGGGGGTGGCAGGGTCTCCTCCCTCACCCTCTGCAACTCCCTTGAACCTTTCCTAGTTGTGTATACACAATGAGATTACAACTAGCAGGGCAAAGGTTTTTTTAATCTGATTTGGAAGAAGTGTGTGTTATATCCATTGTTATTTACTGTACTAGAAATATAAATTCTGGTAAAGAGATGGCTGCACAGTTCAGTTGGAAAGTTCTCTTTCTTTCAAGTCAAATTTAAAATCTAAAAATACTCAAATATTTTATTACAAGTCTATCTCACTTTATATAAATAGCACACATTCTGAGAACTGGATTTGCAACACACACAAAAAAGATGATTTTGTGTATTTCCAAAGGGGTCACCTTTGGGGTTTCTTTCAGTGGGTGAATCCCCTGCTATGCTCATCAGGAAGCTGAAAAAGTCACCTCAACTTTTCAGAAGTATAAATCAAAGTCCACTTGCATTTTTACTAAAGGTGTCTCCAAAGCCTTTCAATCACCACCCTATCATTCTCCACAGCTATCTTCTTAAAGGAAAATCCTCCTTCATCCATCAACATTGTTGACCATTCAACAGTAAAATTCTTATCAGTAAGTTTTAAGCACACTGGGCTGAGAGCCCAAGGGATTCCTGAAGCCCAAGAGGCCTAACATCCTTTTTACAAGGTAGAGATTTCTAAAACAAAAGCAAGATAAAGTCCACAGTTGATTTAAACTCTATGATCCAGATGCAAACAGTACTGTGTCCCAACTACAGGAGATATGAAACCAGGGTTGCTGGTACATGGAATCAAGAACTGCTTCGTGTACAAGTACAAGATGGCCTGCTGTAACCATCTTCCAGCTTCCTAGCAAAACAGCCAGGAAGTAGGAGCCAAGCAGGGAGACAGAGGGGGTCACAAACTGGCCTTCAATAAAGAGGGCTGAGCACTAGGGAAGGATTCTTTCCCACCCATGACAGTAATGACATGAGAGTTAGTGGCTCCAAGCACTTAGAATGGGCAAAGCTGCTCCAAGTCCTTTCACCAGCATCTACTCATAGTTCCTGTACCAGATCCATGACAATAATTATGAAATGTCTTGGATACTCTTAAAAACTGAGAACCTCAAAGATGGTTCTGTGTGTGTAGGTTATATCCATTGTTATTTACTATATTAGAAATTAAGATAGAAAAAATTAGGTATTAATTCATTTAAAAATAATAATAGGGGCTGGGGTTGTGGCTCAGCGTCAGAGAGCTCATCTAGCATGTGTGAGGCCCTGGGTTCGATCCTCAGCACCACATAAAAATAAATAAAATAAAGGTATTGTGTCCAAGTACACCTAAAAAATATTTTAAAAAATAATAATAATAATAATAAACATATTACATGTTAAATAAATAACATTTTTATAGCCAATAAAAATATTTTCCAGGAGCTGGGGTTGTGGTGCAGTGGCAGAGCACTTGCTGAGCATGTGTGAGGCACTGGGTTCAATTCTCAGCACTAAAAATAAGTAAAATAAAGGTCCACTGACAACTGAAAAATATTTTTTAAAAAATTTATTAAAAAATTCCAAAGTAAAAAAATAAAAATAAAAAAAAGAAACTTGTGAAAAGAATGACAGTTTTGTTTCATTTCTGTAAGGCTCCCTAATGCCTGCCCTAAGAAAGACAGTAGGACTCTCCTATCTGCCTCTGTATTTAATTTTTTGTACTTTTTCAGGTCACGTAGGCTTGAAACTTCACTGCAGTCTTGGAAGAATGAAAATAAAAAGTCAAATTAACATCTTAATATTATTATAAAATGGCTTTGAGTTTGCAGACCTCCAGAAAAAGTCTTGGGCACTTCTAGGGGTTCCCAGGCCACATTTTAGTACCCCTATCTTATCAGTTAGAAGCAACTGTTATCCCCATTGCACAAAGGAACAAACACAGAGAGAGAGAGAGATCAAAGAATTGTGTAAGGTCACACTGCAAGAACAGCTCAGAGCAGGTAACTGCACAGCCTCATTTGGTCACTACCAGGATGCAATGAGACCCTATATGTAAGGGGCTGGACATTCCGCTTGGTGCTCAATAACAGTGTTTTCCATTGGGAAGGCCTGGTAGAAAAGATGGAGAAACTTCCCACATTTTTGATCAACTCATCATATGACACCAGATAGAAAAAGTAAAACTCACACCAGGTGTTGTCTAGAATTTGGGGTCCTTTCCTCACAGACCTGTTCCAACCTACAGGATGGAAACCATATTTAACTACTCAGAAACTCAGGGCCTGATTCCACCCTCCATCCATTAGACAAATGAGCTGGGCTCACAGTCACCTTGTTCCTTGGAAACTTGAGCAAGCCAAGACAGCTGTTTCATTATTTACAGTCTCCTTTTTATATCATGTTGTACTTACAAGGAACCCTCAACATGCAAAACTGGTGCCTTCAGTGTGTGCTACCAAGCCTCTCCTAGGAACAAACATCTGATCTTTCCGTGGATGCTCAGCACTCCATGGCTCTCCCTATCAATCAACTTGCTTAACACCATGGCCATCTACTCCTACCTATAATGGGCCAGTTGAGTCCACAGCGGGCCTGCAGGTGAATTCTCTTCCACAGATTTGGGAAGTGAGTTCACTTGGGGAAGTGGGACTTCTCAGTTCAGACCTCTGCACTCTCAACATGCTGTCCCTAACAGAAGGCAGAAGCAAGAGACGCTCTTGTTATTTCTCCATAAAGTGCAGGACACCGTAACCCTCACAGCACTGTACCACGTTTCCCAGCTTCCACGTTGCCTCTCCCCAACACACACACACACACACACACACACACACACGTCCATTCTTCACCAATGGCCCAAAAGATACAAGCATAAAGTGAATAAGATCACTTTTCTTGCTAAAATGCTCCCAAAGTTTCCCTACTCAGTTGGAACAAAAGCCAAAACTTAACTTTGGTTTATAGAGACCCGCCTCTCCTGGCCCTGCCCACTTCTGCAACAAGCGAGGATTGAGGTCGCGAATCATTCTACCTGCAGCTCCCCTCCAGGACCTCAGAGGCCCAAATGTCACCACCTCCTCGAAGAGGACTTTGCCGAATCAAAAGTTGCGTCTCCACCCGGTAGTGCTCGCGACTTCTGGGCACTCCTTAGTCTCGGAAGTTATCTTTATTTTGCTGGTTTATTACACTGCTCCTTCCCTTCGTATCCTCCTCCTAGAAAATAAGCTCCCTGAAAGCCGGAGATCCACCTGGTCCCCCGCGACATCCCCAGCGCTTGGCACGGTGCCGCCTTACACTAAGCGCTCAGCAAAAGTGAACCCAATGAATGAAGCCGCGGAGCGCGGTCGCAGAGGGGATCATGGGCAGGGGTCCCAGGTGCGTCCTCATTGCCCGGGACAGTAGTGCCGAGGCTCGCGCTGCTAGGAGACCCGGACTCTGCTGGGCCCCCACCCCCTTTCGGAAGACGCTCGCCGGGCCCTGGAGCCGCAGGTGCCTCCCGGGAGCGCGCACGCCCCGGGTCAGCGCCGCGGCGCAGCGCACTGGCACTCACCATGGTGACCCGGCCGCCACCGCCCCTGTCCCGAAAGCACCGAGCGCGAAGGACCCGAGGGCCGGAGCCGAGCGCAGGAGCCCGCGCGGCTGACAGGTGAGGCGCCCTCCTCAGACCATGGCTGCTTCCCACAATGCCCTTGAACAGAAAGTTTGCAGACTCCTCCCCGCGCGGCCGCCCTCCTCCCCTCCCGCTCCTCCCATTCTTCTTCCTCGTCCTCTCCTCCCCCATCCCTTTCTCCTCTTCCTCTTCCCCTTCCTTCTCTTCGTGCTCCTCCTTTTTCTCTCCTTCCTTTCTGCCTCCCCCTCCTCTCCACTTTCCCTTTCTCTTGCCCCGCCCCCGTCACAACTTTCCCCGCCCCGCGCCGCGCCGACCGCCGCAGGTGCAGATGCACCTGCGCGCGCGCCAGTCACCGCCGGGAGTCCTCAGCCCCGGGACTCCAGGGCCGCGAGCGCCCATAATCCCACCTGTAGCTCTCTGCGCCAGGAGCTCGAGGCTGGGGGATCTGCTTTCTTGACTGCCGGGCAAAAGTGCCCTAGGTTCACTGGGCAGGTGTTTATCAAACCCGGCAAAACTGTTTTCCGATACACCTGCGGAAGGTGTGCGAGATCGTCTTGTTCCACAACGTGTAGGAAGGGAACGGTTGGCAGATCCAGGAGCAGTAGCGATTGTTACCCCCCACCCCGTGCCCATGTTATTTTTTAGCATAAACTTGCAATCCAAGAACTTGTTCCTTGGAACAAGACCATTTCAAGCAGGTCCCCTTTAAAAAGTTCTCTGTTGTGGTGTTGAAGTTGGGTTTTCTAATTTCTTTCCACTTCTTTATTTTTCTTAACTCTAGGGTTTTTATCTGGGACCTCAGGAATCTCCTCGCCCACGTGTTGTAAGCAGAGCTAAGGGTGCGTATTTATGTTCTTTGGGGGAAAGAGAGTAGTGTGTGTGTGTGTGTTTTACTCAAATTCCTAAAGAAATATGCGACCCTAAAAAGGTTAAGAACCATGTGCGATCTCTGGATCTCCAAACCTGTGGAAGCCCTTCTCAGTTATCTATCAAGTACTTTCCATAGATGTGGACCCGGCTCAGGTGGCCTGGAGGCAAGGGAGAGGTCCTTCTGCTTACGTGAGGTGCATCAGTGAGGTGCCCTGTATTCACGTGCATGTACTGGGTGCAGGTAGCAGGCCTAGGAGGAGCACCCCGGGATTCAGCTGGGAGCGCGCAGCAGATAGTACTCCTCCTGGAGCTTGGTCTCTTGTGGGACAACACATAATAAATACGTGAATAAAGTATGACAAAGTAAAATGAGTGTTAAGATATTGTTGCTGGGCTAGGCACAAGGAAGTCTCAGTAATTTAGCTGGGCAGTTGGGGAAGGCAAAGGCTGCCCACTTGAGGAGGTGATACAAGACCAGGACACAGAAGCCAGTTCTCTGAGGAAGAAGAAAACGACAAAAACAAAACAACAACAACAACAAAAAACCACAGGGCTGTCCTTCTGGGGGTGGGGGGGTAGGGGATACTCAAAGAAATCCTTTGTGGCCAGAGTTAATGTTTAGAAGATGTGATTAGTGGACAGCAGCCTTGAGCAATGGATTTCCTCTGCAGAAGATGAAACAACTGTGTTAAACACACCCAGGAGAGAAACAGGCCCCCCAAAGAGCCTACTCCAGATGCCTGATTGGCACTTTCTGTACACCCTGACAACCCTTTCCTGCCTGGGGTGGTGGCACCTGTAAGGGCATTGGAAGAGGATTGTTTAACAGCAATTAAATCCCAGGCTATGGGATGGTTTTACCTGGCAAAAGAGTAGGAAACGTCTTCTCAGAGGTACTTTCCAATTCCTCATGCTCCCCAGGCCTTTACCTAGCTAGTCTAACTTCTGTGCCTCTCTGCTTTCCCTGACCTTCAGCACAGGGCCCAGCTCTGCCACTCACCTTGAAGAGCCTATGAAAAACATCAGAGCCTTCTTCTTGGAGAGTTCTACTGCTCATGGGAAAGAGATGGGATTATAAAAGATGAGTTTTACAGCTGAAGAGAGCTCAGTGTTCTTGCCATGACTGTTCAGCCAAAACTTAAACCAACCAGGCATGGTAGCACACACTGTAATCCCAGCATCCCAGAGATTTGGGAAGCTGAAGCAGGAGGATCTCAAGTTCAAAGTCAGTCTCAGCAACTTAGTGAGACCCTGTGTTCAAAATGAAAAAAAAAAAAAAAAAAAAAAAGGGCTGGGCATGTGGCTCATTGATTAAGAGTCCTGGGTTCAACAATCCCTGGTACCAAAAAAAACAAACAAAACCCAAATTTAAAGCAGGAGAAGTTTCTTTACCATTTGGCCCACGTTGGAGAGGGTGAGATTAGAGAAGGAGCTATTAGCATCCTTTGTCTTCCCTCTTGACCTTGCTAAAATGGGTAGAAGACACTCCCCTGGTTTAGCATTCTTCCCTCCACATTCTCACACCACACCCAAAGCCATCCTAAGAGAGAGACCTACAGTGGGCTGGACACTTCACATAACTTAAGTTATCTTATCTGCCATCAAGAAAAGCCCTAAGAGGTACTGTACTCCTTGTACAGATGACAGCCTGAGGCTCAGAGGTGGAGAGGCCAGAGCCAGCTCAGACAGCTGATAAGAGGCAGAGATAGGCCTGAAATCAAAGCACTTCTACCCAAGCTGGTTCCCCCAGGAGCCCCCCCACCCCCACCCCCACCCCCCCCTCCCCGTTAGACCCACTCAGGACACAGCAGGGGGAGTGAAGTAGTGTGTATTTGGATGCCTGCATTCTCAGCAGAATTACTTGCGTATTTTAGTTTGCCTTCCCTATCCCATCTTCTCTCCTTTTGGAGCTCCTGCCTCCATGTCAGGTCCACTAACATGCAGACCAACCTCAGGGATGGCCCAAAGGCCCAGTAGCTCAGGATGTTCCAGTGCAGAGAGGCGCTCCCTGCCAGATCCCTAAGGAGCTTTGAGATTCAGAACCTGCTGGACTACCAGAAGCCAGTACACATCATGGTGTGTCTCAGCCGCTGTTGTTTCTGAGCAGGGTCCTGTGATTAGGTGGGTATGATGTACTCACAGTGCAGTGCCCTGGCATTTGGTCAGCTTCATTTAGGAGTTTCCCTGCTCAGATCATTCCATAAACACACGTTAACAGAAGGTACAGAGACAAGGTAGCAAAGACCACCCCTGAGTCCACAGTAGAGGAGAATAGCAAATTTCAGACATGGTAATAAAGGAAAAGGCTAATAGTGTTCTAACCAAAATACTAACTCTTTAGAAACAGAGGGAGATCAAACTATTAGTTTAAAACAATAAAAGACAAAGAAAGACCATTTTGAAAGTCAGCTTCATGGCAACACGCATATTTGATTGACACCTGCTCTGCTCTTCTTCAGGACCCTCCTGTTAATGTCTCAAGTCATGACATCTCCAGGAATGCCTTCTGATGTGACCAGGAATTCACTGGTCACGGTGAAACCTGTAGCAGGAGGCCTGTTCTTTAGAAACTCCTTTACCTTTCAAAACGGGGCATTTTTATTCCAGATGGAAGGACCCTACCCAATATGTTTCTAGAGATTATTTCAAAGAATTTTTCAACTAAAAAATAATATAGGTCCACTGTGGATCTGGAAAATACAGAAAAAACATCAGTTTAAACCTCACTCTTAACTTTACGGTCTAAATATAACCACTATTGTATTTGGTATATTTCCTTTTGGATTCATGTTCTCTAGAGAGAGAAGAGAGAAAGATTTCATTAAAAAAAAATGGAATTTGAATAGATTTAAATGTGTCCCCTCCCAAATTTATGTTGAAACTTAACCCCCCTTTGGGAGTTTTCAGAGGTGGTGTCTTTGAGGATGTAATTCATACATGAGGGTTCTGTTCTCTGGATGAATTAGTGCCTTGTAAAAAGGCTAGAGGGGGCTGGGGCTGTAGCTCAGTGGTAAAGTGCATGCCTAGCGTGTGTGAAGCACTGGGTTCAATCCTTAGCACCACATGAAAATAAATAAAGATATTGTATGTCCATCTACAACTAAAAAAAAATTTTAAATAAATAAAAAATAAAAGGGCTAGAGGGAACCAGTTTAGTCCTGTCTGCTATTTGAGGACACAATGTCTGTTCCCTCCAGAGACAGTCAAAGCTCCACCTTGGAACAAAGGATGGGCTTTTCCCAGCCACAAAAATTCCTGGTGCCATGATTAATGCTGGACTTCCAGCTTCCAGAACTATAAGAAATAAACTTCCCTTCTTTATAAAGTACCTGATCTCAGGTATTTTATTATAGCAGCACAAATAGACTGAGACGGCTACCATATGAAATATTTTGCATCCAAGTGTTTTATTTATTTTTTTAGTAACATAGTTATCAAACAGATATTTATTGCATCCACTCTATGCTGAGATCCATCCTGGGCATTGCCATAGAACAGTAAAGAAAGGAGATATAGTGCCTCTCAAAGTGGGTGTCAGTGTTATGAGGAAGACAAATTTTAAACAAATAATAATATATAAAAATGTGTAATGATCACAAATGCTAAAAAGGAAAAGGTCAGATGCTGTGCAAACATATAATAAATCATTCCTAGCAGACATTTGTCATTTGCTTCTTCAAGGTCCCTTTCCCCAGTTTCCTGTAACTCTTGGCTTGGAGTTCAGGACCTAATCCACACATGAACTTATAAATTTCCGGGTGGCACATGACTCAGTGTTGGCCAATCAATATTTTGCTTTCCAATAACAAGAATGATGGGTTCTAAAATAGGTGTATGCCCAGAGTCAACTCAAACCAGGAAGAACAAATCTGGGGATATTTTTAGAACTGTCTTGGAGAAGTACCTCCATTCTTCCTAGTAGGTTTGAATGTGAATAAAGAAACGGGAGCTTCTTCAGGTGTTTTAGCACCATGGAGGATGAACTTTTCTCTGGAGCCAACATCAAGGATACTGGGCCTTGGGCAGAGAAATAAACAAGTCCTTCACAATAAGTCTTGAGGCCTGCATCATGCCTGAAGCTGACACTGAACTTTTTTTGGTTACCTGAAGCAGTTTGGCTTGTCCCTTGTGACCAACATGATTCTGGACATAAGTCAGGGAAGGTTTCCCTGAGGCAGGGACAGTGAACTGAGGCCGGAAGGATGAGTGAGAGGGGAGGAGTGGACAGCCAGAGGAGCAGGAGGAGCAGGGTGTGCATGGGCTCAGGCAGGAGACCAGGAACATTGGATCGAGAAAGTCAAGAGTTGGGGAGGGGCGGGTCATGCATAATAGGAGGTCAAGACATGGGAGACCACGTGAGGCTTACATAGCTGAGAAGTGGCGAGGTCACATTTTAGAGACATTTCATAAACATCCCATTGGTACAGACGTGAACAGAACAGGATGGCTCAGGGGGAGAGGAGACAGGATGCAGGGAGCCTTGGTAAGAAGCCCAAGATATTTCCAGTGGGAGATGAGCCGATGGCGTCTGCTGGGATGGTTGCAATGGATTTTCCCCTTAATGTTATATTGTGAAAAATTCTCAATATCAAATTCTAGTTTAAAAAATGATATTTAAAGGACATATAATATTCCATTCTTGGAGTTTTCATGTTCTCTGTTTCCCTGTAACTGAATAAGTAATATAATTCCTGGTGTCTCTGTCCTTATAACTCAATACAGAGATTGTGGCCAGTCTTGCAAATACTATAGCTGAAGGAATAATATGATTCCCAGAGTCTACGTTCTTATAATAAATACAGAAGCCATTTCAGTTTTACAAATACCACAACAAGAATTCATGTGCATATAATTCAATCTTCTGGTCAAATTACTGGTTTAAAAATTAAACCATTTTAAGGCCTCAATATCTATCTATCTGAATAGATAAATATAAGAAGGACTGACCAGTCAGTTTACCCTCATATAA